TGGTTAGACTTTACTCAAAAATGTTTAATTGTATAACTTTTTGGAAAATGTATCTACATGTATAAGATACATAAATCTTTATGTTGTATTTTTTTTTTTTTTTATAACAAAAGGTGGCAAACGAGCAAGCGGCCACCTGAATCCGCCAAAATGGCGAAGCAACCGCTGCCCATAGACATCCGCAATTGCAAATGCGTTACCTACCCTTATCCGACAGAGGAGGAGATGCACATAAAGAGGATATTTCCGCTTCCTATGTATCTCCTCCGTGAAATCCACTTTCCCTTCCCATCCTATCCTTATAAGAAAAGGGCGGTAAAGAGAAAGGGACTTAAATTAGGCCTCCGGCACCACACTCATCAGACGAAACACGGAATTGCTTCCATTTCACGCCTGTCTTCTGTGTGGTCGTGGTATTACACCGGGCGTGCCGGCACATTCGTGCTAAGATGTTGAAGCGGGCACTACCACTGTTGTAGTCATAATAATAAAAATAAATGTATCAAACTGTAAGTTAACAATTCAAATAATATATATTTTTTAAATAACGTAATATTTTTTCCTAGTCCGTTTATTAATAAACCAAATTCACAACTTACTGGTAGCATAAACGCATTTGAAGGTATTTGTTAATATAAATATTCATGTTTAAACAATACTCCCACGTTTTATTAGAATGTTTCATTTAAAAGTGAAGTAAACTCAACGCGTTTCATATCTTTGTGAGAATGCGGCATACATCAAAAGGAGAAAAACCTCATATCAATAGCCCTTTGTTATGTTTGATCGTAACATTGTATTTGAACAAGTGTTCGCGGGTCAAAGGTCTTTGTAGCGTGTACGTTTGACTAAATTATCGCACAACTGTTTCGCTTTGATTTCTATGAAGTTATATGGTTGGTACTTCACGATTTTTAGGTGTGCAACTAAACAGTTGAATTGTCAGCGAAACAATCGCATAACGGTTGTGCGATAGTTTAGTTTTATGCATTTGACATAAATTATCTGCTAGACAGTTTTAATAAAAGATGTACCAAAGACAAGTCTTAAATATCAAGGTTAAGCCTTTTCCATGAAATATAACTAACGGCCAGTTTAAGTCTAGACTTCCTAGAATATTCTACATTTATCTTGTCTAGCATGTAACGGGTGCATGTCTGTCTGGATTCTATCAGATCTCGATCTCTCCGGTTTCAAAAGCGACCGCAAACAAAATCTAGAAACCGTCACTTTGCTTCACAGAACTTATATGTTACTATTAGCTTTTGAACTTCGGCATTTGTTAATCTGACCATCCTATTGTCATTAATTGAAATTTTACTTACGTTATAATATTTTTTTTTAGTTAGGAATTTAAATCATAGTTTTAATTAGTTTGGTGAAACATTTTGTCATAAAATCTCACCTTTTCAATCGTTAGTTAATTTGTCAGATCGTTATATTTTAAACTATATAACTTTGTTACTTATGAACTGCCGATGTTTACAATGTAACGGTGACATGATATATAGTCGGTACTAGTCAGGGTCCACCTATATACAGTTATGACGGTCTAATAATAGTCGGACACGGAACGGGAGTAGAACCGTATTCCTTCAGAACCTTATAGGGTATTGAATTTAACGGGATACTGCTGATGTTTTTACAAGATCAATAAATCTTTAACGTTAATTCAGACTAACGGTTAGTTAGCAATTAAGTGGTACACAGTGTGTTTACTCAAAAAATATAATTTCGTGCTTTTTTTATATCTATACATACTATTATATTAAAGCGTAAACACACACTTGAATAAGTGTGTGTTTACGTTGCCTAAGATGTCAGCAATTACAGAATAACTCTTTTTTAATGAAAAGCCGTACACTTGCGTTAAAGCGTGACTATATATTTTAAAACCATTAAACTTAGAGGTAAATGTTTTGGATAAAAACCCTAATGTGGGAAAGAGACCATAAGTTGCTGCCAACATCAAGGAAGCAAGGTTGACATCATGTCATGTCATGTTATTTTGACATGTGCAATTGATAATTTGACAAATGTAAACAATAAAATAAAATTTTCATAATTTCATGCGGATGAAGCCGCACGAGAACAGCTAGTTGCTAATATTTATAATTGAACAATTATTATAATCTGTCGATTTTTGCGGGTAGTAAATGAAAATTTTAAAATAATAAAATTTCTAGCTTTGTCTGGAGTGTTTTTCGATGTTAATTATAAAAAAAAATCGCAAATTATACTTTTTATAGAGGCAAAACAGCAGCGGATCTCCTGAAATTTGATCTGAAGCCCATAGCCATCCGCATGTACCTAAGGGCCTGTCCCACCATATTGTAAATTGTCTGATAACAATTCAACGTGTAAAATGTGTTGTGGAAATATCGGATTTTGTTCCCTATCTGAGCCTCTATCAGCTAGTGGTAGGACAAGCCCTTAGACTCCTTAATTCATAATTTTACTGAAACATTAAGCATGCTTACGACTGCGGTAACCCGTCTCTCTAGTCAACGTTCTAAATAAGGCTAAATATTTACTACTATTTAAACATTGGCATTCCTCAATCAATATACATTGATTAACTTCCTAGTTTATATTTAAAGGCCGACATACACGGACTACTTCAAGTAGTGGACGTACAGAAGCATTTTTAAATGCAATTACAAACTACGTTTACGAACGTCTAATGCTGATCGCTTGAAAACGTTCGTGTATGGCCCTCATAGTCATTCATTTGCGTCTAGTTTGTAATAAAGAATGAAATCTGAGATCGCAGTACAATCACGTCCTGAGCAAGTATGTGATACATTTAATTTATGCATTACTTAATGGTTAAGGAACGTTTACACTAAATTTATCACATTACAGTCTTGAGGTAAACAGTGTGAAATATCTACGTGAAGGTTAACTTTATGTTTTGCTATCAACGACTGAATAAAACAACATTACTTTGACCGTATCCAAAAAAGTATATTTGTCAATTTTTTATGTATACTTTGACAATTAACAAATAAAAAAAAATACTACAAACAAAGTTAGCTAGCCTAAGGTGTGTCGTAAGTGTAGTGCTTTTTATTAAAGAAAGGATTATTCAAAATATGCTGTGATTGTTGAAATCTTGCGCCACAGGGTGGTGTGTTTTTACGCTTTATTATAATAGTATGGATTGTGCATGAATACCTGACAACATGTGTTACGCGGAAGAGCGGGACAGTTAACAGTGGTAGTGCCTGCTTTAACATCTTAGCACGAATGGGCCGGCACGCCCGGTGTAATACCACGACCACACAGAAGACAGACGTGAAATGGAATCAATGCCGTGTTTCGTCTGATGAGTGTGGTGAAGGAGGCCTAATTTAAGTCCCTTTCTCTTTACCACCCTTTTCTTATAAGGAGAGGTTGGGAAGAGGAAGTGGATTTGACAGTGGAGGAGATGCATAGGAAGGGGAATTATCCTCTATGTGTGCGTCTCCTCCTCCGTTGTATAAGGGTAGGCAAGGCATCTGCAATTGCGGATGTCTATGGGCAGCGGTCGCTTCGATATTTTAGCGGTTTCAGATGGTTGCTTGCTCGTTTGCCACCTTGTTATATATAAAAAAAAAAAACTTCCTAACACAAGTGCCTAATGGTAACATGTATAATCTATTGTTACATCAATAAATCATTTTTTTATTTTTTCAAAGTTGCAAGCTAAAACTAGTCTCTCATGTTCTAGAAATGTTCCATTAATCTGTGCTGCTTTCTAACGTTTTGCATTAGAGTTGTAAACATTAACGACTTCGTTCATATTATCTAATCAAGGCAATAATATCCACAGCAATATAAGCAATTCAATTAAAACATGTCTAATAAACCTATTAAGTGTTACAAGGAAGTAACTTAGCGAAACTTGAGTTAAGTTTATACTTACTGCACAGTTTTATGTTTTTACCGGAAATGTCATGTTGTAGAAACTGTAAACATAAAATAAAGTAAAACGGCCTTTAGTGTTAGGCTTACGTTATGTAATCAGTACTAATATTATAAAGACGAAAGATTTGTATTTTTTTTATTTTTGTATGTATTGAAATAAGTTAAAAAATACTGGTCAGATTAAAAAAAATCTTCTACCATTAAAAAGATATGTTATTACTGAGTAACAACAGCTGTTTCTTTACTATTATTTCAATTTCACGCTTGCGAAGTCGCGAGCAACAGCTAGTGTAAAATTAACTTTGTTTACGTGTTTTAAAATTTGTCAAGTGTAACTTAAATAATACGACAACAATACTTTTAATATTAATGTGAAAGTATATATGTTTGTTACATGTTCAATACGGCTTAAAGGATCTCGATAAATTAACGCAGACGGAGTCGTGGGTAACAGCTTGTTTTACATAATTTTTACCATTAACTCTTATTAAATATGTTTTACGTAACTTAATTAAAGGAATTATTATTACAATGAGATGACGAATCGATTTTATCTGTTAACTATCAAAGATAAGATTAAAAGCGTAACTGTAAAATCAATAACATTATCTCTCAAGATTGACGTATTAACGTATATCGACTAACATCCAATGCATGTTCCGCTAAAACTTGTTCCACATAGAACAAGTTCCGATATAAACGGAACACATTCAGGTTTAGTTACAGATTAGACTCTGCACTTAATATGTCAATTTCATTTAATAAATGCGTTAATATGTTAATATCTTGTTGAAACATACATTGTCATATACTGTTTTAATCGTTTACAAATACAAAATTACTTCTTTTAGTGAAATCTCTTCGTAAAAGACTAAAATCCTTATGTCTCCATCATGGCAGAATTGATGTAGGGTAGTTATTGAAAACAGAGTGTATCATCATTCAGAACTAGGCGAGCTCCCGTCGAGGACGTACGTCTGGCGCGTGTATTTGCCAGCCAATGTTCAAGTGTATTACTTATTAAGTAACATTTAAAACAATAAATAAACTTTTATATTTTGCTTCTTATTAAATGTTTCTATTTGTTACAGGGATACATTATACCGACTGTCACTGCGAGGCTTAAGAATTCTAGAACGTTCTGAATGGCCCGCTGCTCCGGAGAAGACGAGATTATGCCAAGTAAAGGGGCAGACGGAGGAAGACTGTCACAATTATATCAAAGTTCTTCTGTCGTACGGACACAAGCTGTTCGCCTGCGGTACTAATGCCTTCAGTCCGATGTGCAGTTGGAGAGAAGTAAGTGAATACCTACATGCAATTCTGTAATCTGTGTGGTTGTCTTTTCCAAGATCTACTCTCTTTGAAAGTAGCGTCAGTGGTCGAGAAATTGAGAAGCTAAAGGTTAGCGTGGTATGGACATCTTATGGGAAAAGAGGATAGGGACATAAACCTGAAAGTGTTAAGACTGAATGTGTATGCCTACAAAGGAGACCGTAGAAAGTATGGATGGGTTGTGTGAAAGATATGCTTAAGAAGGGAGCTTATTCAGATATGACTGCTGATAAAAATGTATCGAAGAGCAGCACATACTGTGCCGAACCTCCGTAGGTAAAAAGGAAAGTTGATGATAACCCTCTTACCTGTTCATTCCATATACCAGATAGAAGAAATAAGGAATGTGTCAGAGTGGATGCCGGGAGTGGTGCTCTGCCCTCACAGCCCGCACTCCAACGTCACCGCATTGCTGGCCAGCAACGGGGAGTACTATGCTGGTACTCCCACTGACTTCGCAAGCTCTGATACTACTATATCCAGGTAAGAGATATAACTTATTGATAATCACCGTGGTGATCACATTATCACCAAGGGATCGCCTCGAAGGTAAAGTGTATGAATTTATATGTCATAATATCGTATGTCATAAAATCAAATATGGTACTACCTACTTTGATGCCAGTAACATTTACATATGAGTTAGCACGCTTTCAAGTGTGCCAGCCACTGGCATCAGAATGCCAGCTCTGTGGTTACTTTGTCAGCCCTGAGAATTCATTTGTGATATACTTTCTCGCTTCAATAAACATTCACAAAGTTACTCAAAATAGAAAAATAAAACAATTTATGCAAAAACACTATTCATACTAAAGAGCACTTTCCCTAGAAATGCAGCACAACTTTCGTAAGACCTTTTACTTTTTTTCTTATTAGTAAAGATTGGAACGCGAAACACGTTTTGTCTACGTGAAACGTCTGTTGATTGTTTACCTTACATCATTATTACATTTGCGAATTTAAAAGTCATGATTGAATCAAAGAGTGTGGGTGTTCAAGGGCTTGTAATCTCCAGGTCTTGGGTTCGAATCCCGCCGTACCAATGTGATTTGAGATTTTCGAATTTCGTATGTACAATTTACTCGACGATTTTACGGTGATGGAAAACATAATGATGCAACGTATATCGGCGGATTATCTCAACCGTTACCCCGCTCTGTCCCCACGTCAGAATAAAACGTTTCATCCGTCCCACCTTTTAGTCCCACAATCATCAATATGGTGACGGATGGAACCGTTATGAAATAAAATTAGTTCCAACCGTCCCCATGTCGCAAAATTTGGGACGGATGTCACTTTTTATTCTCATTTGTTTCCAAGTGGGGACAGAGCGGGGTGACAGTTAGGAAATCAAAGATATATGTGAAGTCAACCCGCAATAGGCCAGCGTGTTTAACTATGGCCTAGTTACCCCTTGTAAGGGTAGGCTCGCCCCTCAGTAGGGACGTATGCGCTGATGATGATTGAATATAGTTTTAACTTATTTGATTTCCCACAGGAGTCGGGGTGCAGCGGTAGTAGATACTGGCATGTTGCGTACAACCCAGTACGATTTGAACTGGCTTAACGAACCTCACTTCGTGGGCAGCTTCGAGGACGATTACTACGTTTACTTCGTGTTTAGAGAGGTCGCTGTTGAACATTTGAATTGTGGCAAGGTGAGTTATTTTGAATACATTAAATTTCAACTGACCTTTTGGGAGTTTTCGCAAGATTTTTAAACTAGCTATAAGGATTTTAAAATATCTAACTTTCAAAACATAATAATCACATTATGTTAAATATTGCTGTTATATATTTAATAGTATTCTTTATTGTATGAATTTGAATCTATACTAATATAATAAAGCGTTAACACACACTACTTTGTGGCTTAAGATGTCAGCAATCACAGCATGTTTTTTAATAATTCTTTCTTTAATAAAAGGCCCTATACTTACGACACGCTTTAGGCTACATAGATACATTTTCACGCTATTAAACTTAAGTGGTAAATGAATTGGAAAAAAACATTCACGTGGGAAAGGGCCCATGAACTACAAGCTGCCAACATTAAGGAAGCAAGATTGTTATGGTAATGGTAATTTTGACATGTAATTGTGAATTTGACAAATGTTAACAATAAAATAATTTAAAATTTCATGCAGATGAAGCCGCGTGGATACAGCTAGTGTTGTTAATATAATAAAGTAGCATTTCAAGAAATCTTATCGATTATAGATTTTTCTAATGATTAATGATTTTAAAATCTTTATAAAAAATGTTTGGCAAACTTTGTAACGTTATAATGTATAAACAAACCTAATTAAGATCAAATGATAAATTAAACAGTTTGTTGAAATTTAAATAGTAATAAAATATATAATTTATATTTAATATCCTCATAAAACGTATTAATTTAATTTGTTTTAATTAACATAACAAGTTATATGTAAACGATTTATGTATTCCTAATTTATTGATCGGAAACACATGATTCAGGGTTCAATGTTTGATTTAATTAAATGTTCTTTTATTGATGACTAGCTGTTCCTGTGCGACTTCATCCGCATAGAATTATGAAAATTTAGCTTTGTTTACATGTGTCAAATTATCAATCGCAAATGTCAAAATGACATGACATGATGACAAACCATTATAACCTTGCTTCATTGATGTTAGCAGCAACATATGGTATTGTCTCTTTCCCACATTAGGGTTTTATCCAAAATATTTACTCTCTAAGTTTAATAAGAAGTGTAGGGCTTTTTATTACAAGAAGAGTTATTCAAACATATGCTGTAATTGCTGACATCTTAGGCAACAAAGAAGTGTGTGTTTACGCTTTATTATAATAGTATAGATATCAAATTAACAACCGGTTTACAACAAATAACAGGCTGCAGTTTCATTATTAGTTACCTCGTAAGCACCCTCGTATTCAAACGACTAAGTTATCAGCTGATAGAACTACACTATTAGATAACCATAAACAAAGATGTAGATATTTAAATAATTCATCTAATTAAAAATCGCTCTTCTAAAACATTCTTCGTTAACAATGGCACTATTGTGTCTGCTCGCCTTCAATACCACGACCACACAGAAGACAGGCGTGAAATTAAATTAATTCCGAGTTGCGTTTGATGAGTGTGCGTGCCGGAGGCCTAATATTAATCCTTTTCCCTTCCCACCATTTTCTTATAAGGAAAGGACGGGAAGGGACAGTAAATTTGATGCTGGAGGAGATACATAGATAGGGGAAAAATCTTTATGTGCGTCTCTTCGTCCGTCTATTGCGAATGTCAGGCAGGAGTCGCTTCACCTTTTAGGCAAATTCAAGTGACAGGCGTTCTTTTTGCTACCTGTATAAAAAAAAAATCGTACACAAACTTCAATATCATTCATTAGGTAACAATTAGTAGTCGTTTAAATATTATTTACAGACGATATATTCAAGAATAGCGCGCGTATGTAAGAACGATTCTGGCGGTCACCGCGTCATGAGACACAATTGGAGTACATTCCTGAAGGCGCGGCTGACGTGTCCCGTACCCGGGGACATACCCTTCTACTACGATGAAGTGCAGAGTGTGGAATATATTCCACAGGAGAAGATATTAGTCGCTACATTTACTACACTTACGTAAGTAATGATGCTTATGATAAATTGGTTTTCCTAAAAATCTTACCCAAATTACACTTAATTTTGTCACCTCCTGTAGCCTTAACTACTGTGTTGTTCTATACGTTTTCTTTCCTTATGTGTCATAGGTACAATCATCTTACTAATATTATAAATGCGAAAGTTTAGATGGATTTTTGTTAGAGTTTGTAGCCTAAACTGCTGAACAGATCTCGATGAAATTTGGCATTTATGTAGAGAAAAAGGAAGAACGAATAGGCTACGCGACTCCGTTTGCGTGGAATTAAACAAAACAAAAGTGAGTAGCCTATGTTTTGGAGACTATCCTCTACATCTATGCCAAATTTAATTAAAATCCGTTCAATCGTTTAGGCTACAAACTCTACCAAACATCTATCTAAACTTTCGAAATTATAATATTAGTATAATTAAATTGTTAGTACGTTTGCAATTATCTTCGTACAATATTTAGCATTAGAATTACCTGAAATAAGTAAATTATTTATTTCTATTAAGGTAAATAAATTCTTAAACCATAATATTATTTCCTTACAGTAACAGTATAACCGGCAGTGCTGTATGTATATACAATATGTCTGATATTCGAGCTGCCTTTGAGGGCCCTTACAAAGTTCAGTCCTCGCCCTCCTCAGCTTGGGAGCCTCGCGCGCCCTCGCACGAATCCAGGGAACACTTCAGATGCGCTTCTGATACCAGGTATCTCTCACACTATCGTTGTCTCTCTCTTACACATTTACAACTATCGTTATGTCTCGCTTTTATTATCTGTGTCTCTTTCATTTCTCGTGCCATCGGAGACATTTTTCACATGCCTCAATAACGCTATCTATTGTTAGGTTTTCAACACCAATAGTTGTCGCTAAAACCTATTTAAATATTTATAATTTTTCTTACATCGTTTAGTTTATTATGCAACACTAGATGGAGCTTATTATAATTTTGTATAATGTTTTAATACAAGGACACGAGGTGGCGTGCTAAACTTGGCAATTAACATACCTTTCAAAGAAGTTACCGATGAAAAAATGTTCAGTATGTTTATGTATTTCTTAAAGATCTTTTACGATTTTCATATCTGCCTGATTTAAATCGTAATAATACTGCTTTGGCGGGGGCACTACAGTGCCCCTACATAGTCCTGTGTTCCCATTTCAGTTTACATATCCTTGAAGCTTCCTTTAAAATTTAAAATTTACCTTCTAGAATATTTACGAGGTTTGCTCTAACATCTGTTAACATTACTCGTTGGTTGCTTTCCTACAGAATACACGAAACAATGGAGTTCCAAAGATATCAATTAATGTACGAATCAATTCGCCCTATATCCGGTGAACCTGTCTACAAAGTGACGTCACAACGCTTCACACACGTGACCGTTGACGTCACCAAATCCAAACAGATGGACAAACAGCTCGTCGTGTTTGTTGCTACGCAGAACAGTGACGTCATCAAGCTGGCTATACTTCCCAGATATGAAGGCGCTTGTTTGGTGGAAATATGGAAATTGAAAGATGCAACTGGCAGTATCAATATATTGACTATGCAGTTTGTTAAAGATACGGTAAGTTATTTATTAAGTGATTAATTAAATTTAATGGTTGTTTATAACTTTTTCAATGTGGTTTTAATATGTCTGTATCCTCACATATACCTTCCTTTCGCTCTTTACATTCTACCAAACAAATTGTGGAAGAATTTTGTTCAGTATGCCTAGTCTACTTCTTAAATATCTTTGATATAAGGATACTATATCAACATTTTTTATTTCTACAACAATTTTTTTAATTCACAGTATGTTACATAATTATTTATTTATTTTAGTATTTTGTATATGTGTAAATATGTTAAATGTTTTTATTACACTAATATTATACATAGAAAGTTTAGATAGATGGATGTTTGTTAGAGTTTGTAGCCAAAACGGCTAAACGGATTTCCATAAAATTTGGTATAGATGTAGAGGATAGTCTGGAAGAACACTTTTGTTTTTTTATTCCACGCGGACGAAGTCGCGGACGAAAGCTAATTTTTCATTAAGGAAATAAAGCTATAGTTATTTTTACACTAGCTTCCGCCCGCGACTCCGTACGCGCGGAATTAAAAAAAAATGCAAGTAGCCTATATGTTATTCCGGACTATTCTCTACATACCAAATTTCATCGAAATCTGTTCAGCCGTTCAGGCTACAAACTTTAGCAAACTTCCATCTAAATTTTCGCATTTATGATATTAGTATAATTTATCCACCAGATGTCAGTATACATCGGTAGTGAGTTAGGCGTGTTGAGGGTCGGCAGCGAGCGTTGTGCGCGCTACCTCAGCCGGTCAGGTTGCGTGGCCGCCACCGACCCGCACTGCGGCTGGGACGACGCACGCGAGCTCTGCGTCCGCGCAGCCCCACATCTACATGACTCTTACTTCACACAGACCACCACCACCTGTCCCACTGTGGATACACCTGGTTAGTAAATACATCAAATACACTAATAATTCATTCATAATTATCATATTCCCGTAGGGTGACCGGGTTTTTGTCCTCTAAAGAATTTTATCATACGTCATAGTTATATCCCTTCATGTCACTTTTTACGCAATCCATCTATCTCTTTGTGATATTATAAATGCAAAGGTTAAATGGATGTTTGTTAATGTTTGTACCCTAGACTGATGAACGGATCTCTGGAAGATCACATAGGCTACTGACTTCAGTTTTTCTTTCCACGCGGACGGAGTCGCGGGCGAAAGCTAGTAGGAAATAAAACTATAGCATATTGTGTGTCCCCAAGCGATGTTTTAGAGGGTAAGATTCCGATGTTCCTTGAAGATACCAAAACCTTCGTCATCGTCACTTGAGGATGGTCATCGTTAGGTTTTAGTGGGTCCCACATCTTTGGAAGAATTTATCCCAACATAAAAAATATTGGTTAAGATCAAGGGGAGGGTACTGAAAAATTATAACATAGCTTATATTACAAAAAAAAACGTAGCTTTTTATGGTAAAAGAATTATTGAAATCGGCCAAGTTTTTGAGTTATTTCAATACATACAAAAATATATGTTTCCTCTTTATAATATTAGTGTGTGTTACCAGTGGACGGTGGCTGGTCATCATGGTCGGTGTGGGAGCGCTGCATGCAGGAGGGCACGCCGGCTGCCGCGTACGCGGACGACCAGCCCGACATGTGTCTCTGCCGCACACGGCGCTGCGACAACCCAAAACCTGCTAATGGAGGACAGCCTTGTAAAGGTAATTGATAAAAATACACATAAAACACAAAGTGGCTCAGTGGTTATGCACGTGACTTGCAACCTACAGGTCCTGGGTTCCAATCCCGTCATATACAAATGTTTTTTTTTTCGAACTTCATATCTTACATAAAAAAGCACGATGTTCTTAAAGAAGGGAAAACATTGTGATGTAACATAAACAATACATTTAACAGTGGTAGAGTCCGCTTTAATCTTCGCACTGTAGGGCTGGCTCGCCCCCGGTAATACCACGACCACACAGAAGACAGGCGTGAAGTGGAAGCAATTCCATGTTTCGTCTGATGAGTGTGGTGCCGGAGGCCTAATTTTAGTTCCTTTCCCTTTCCATCCTATTCTTAAGAGAATAGGATGGGAAGGAAAAGTAGATTTAACGGTGGAGGAGAATCATAGGAAGAGGAGATTTTCTCTTTATGTGCGTCTCCTCCGTCAATTAAAGGTAGGCAACGCATTCGCTATTGCGGATGTTTACGGGCAGCGCTTTCCATTTCGGTGCATTCAGGTCGCTTTTGTTACCTAAAATGTCGGCAATTACAGCATACTTTTGAAAAAATCCTTTTTTAATAAAAAGCCCTACACTTACGTCACGCTTTAGGCACGCACCCAACATTAAGGAAGTAAGATTGCAAAGTTTTGTCATGTCATGTAATTTTGACATTTGCAATTGATAATTTGACAAATGTAAACGATAAAATAAAATTATCATATTTCATGCGGTTGAAGCCGCACGGGAACAGCTAGTATTATATAAAACAAAGAATAATATTCGTATTAGGTGCTAGTATCTCGGTGGCGAACTGCACCACGCACGGGGGCTGGTCGCCGTGGTCGGGGTGGTCGGAGTGCAGCGCGTCGTGCGGCATCGCGGTGAAGTCGCGGCGCCGCGCCTGCTCCGCGCCCGAGCCGCGCCACGGCGGCCGCGTCTGCGTCGGCGTCGACTCGCAGGACGTCTACTGCGGGAACCTGCCGCCGTGTCCCGGTATACTATCGGATATCTTTCTATTGTGTTTTTGTGACGTTCGAATTAAAATATATAGCTTATGTTTTCTTCCAAACTATCCTTTACATCTAGGCTAAAGATCTGTTTTGTCGTTTAGGCAGCAAACTCTAACTTTGAAGTAAAGTTTCTCATCTTACTAATTACTAGCTGCTGCTCGCGACTTTCTCCGCGGGATTAAAAGGTATTCAAAAATGTAGCCTATGTTACTCAATGATTTCATGTTTTCTAAATGGTGTAACAATTTTTGAAATCGGCCCAGTAGTTTTTGAATTATTACAATACATACAAAAACACATATATTTCCTCTTTATAATATTGTAAGCAATAAAGAGTAATAATAAGTAATAAATTTTTTCATTGTTTTAATTTCATGCGGACGAAGTCGCGAACAACAGCTAGTTACTTATTAATGAAAAGCAATAAAGGCAATTTAAAAAAAACTTTGATATTATATTCTATTGTACTTTCATATTAAATTTATTCCAGACCCAGCATTAGCTCCGGTCGACGGGGGCTGGTCACCCTGGGGGTCGTGGTCCGCGTGCACTGGCAGCTGCGGGCCCAACGCGGGGACCCGCGAACGCCGCCGACACTGCACGGACCCTGTACCTAAACACGGCGGCGCTGACTGCGAGGGTCCAGCCACTGAGAAACAATTATGTGACCTCAGACCATGCGAGGTCAGGAAGGCCACCGCTTGGACCCCTTGGGTGCAAATACCTAGTAAGTTTTGCTAAAAGGTCGGAAAGCTGTTGCATATGACTTTTTTCGCGTGAATATTAAAAATATACCCTATGTTACTCACAGATAAATTATCTTTCTAATAATGAAAAAATATTTAAAATCGGCTTAGTAGTTTTTGAGTTATTTCAAAACATACAAAAAAAAATTTTCTCTTTATAATATTAGAATGGATGTAATCTAAACCCGTTAGTACACATACAAAACTGCGATTTTAATCTCTAAATGGCGTATCTATTAACTTTAAAATATATGTGACCTTGTATTGCGTTAGTCGCTTAGAGACTTAAATCGTAGATTTGCGTAGCGTTGTGTACGAAGGGGCTAAATATGTTTATTGTATTACAGGTAACATTTCTGATGGCAGTTATACGGAGAAACGTTTCAAATTCTTATGCAAAGCGCCTTCACCTGAGCAAATAAAGGTAATAAAAAAATCTTGGTTGTTCATTTTGGTCCTTTGAGTCGGATATTTTAATCCTTAATCAAATATTGGGCAGTTATTTCCCATTTTATATTATCTTAATTTTTTTTTATCGGTTACTTAATCAGTGAAATATTTATCCTCTTTAGAATAACCAACTTTACTCGCGACTTCGCTCGCATGAAATTAAAAAAAAATAAATGAAAAACAGCTTGCGTTACTCACTGATAACACAACTTTTTAATGATGGAAGATATTCTGGAATCGCTCCAGTAGTTCATGAGTTATTTCAATACATACAAAAAAAAACCTATCCTATTTATAATACTAGCTTTTGTCTATGACTCCGTTCGCGTGAAATTGAAAAAAACATTGTAAAATATAGCCTTTGTTACAGACACAGAGAAAATACCTTTCTAACGGTTAAGGAAATTTTAAAATCGGTCCAGTAGTTTTTGAGCCTATTCATTACAAACAAAGTTTTCCTCTTTATTATATTATTATATCAATATAATATAAAAAAAAATATCCACCTCTTTAAAAAATTCAGTTACAATTATCTCAAAACATTTGTATAACTAGAATTAAACGATATTCTTTCCAGTTATCCCTAGCTCGTGAAGAGGAGAGGTATTGCAACCCTGAAGGCACATGCAGCAGCACTCCTATAGAGGAGGAGGGTTGGGGGGAGTGGGGCTCGTGGGGGGCGTGCTCCGCGGCGTGCGGCGGCGGGCAGCAGTCGCGCGCGCGCCGCTGCCGCCGACAGCCGTGTGCTGGCGCGACAGACATGCTGCGCGCTTGTAACACACACGCTTGCACTGGTATAACTCGTATTTCACAATTAGTTATTATTTGTAGTTTTACATGTAATTAGAAAATTTTACTTTGACGTTATTATTTCGGTGTCTTATGTATGTACATCATGTATCGAAATCCGTTGAATCGTTTAGGCTACAAACTCTAAAAAATATCCATCCATCTAAACTTTCATATCTTACTAATATTATAAATGCGAAAGTTTAGATGGATGGATGGATGGATGGTTGTTAGAGTTTGTAGCCTAAACGGCTGAACGGATCTTGATGAAATTTGGCATAGACATTGAGGATAATCTGGATGAACACATAGGCTACTAATTTTTGTCTCTTTGCACTCCGCGGACGGAGTCGCGGGCAAAAGCTAGTTTTTAATATTAGTATAATTCAATATTTACCTTAATATTTGTATAGGCGAATGGTCGTGCTGGAGCGAGTGGAGTGCGTGCAGCGGGGAGTGCGGCGCGGGGGCGGGGGCGGGGCGGCGCACGCGCACGCGCATGTGTCTGTCAGCGGCGGGCTGTGCGGACGCCGGCGCGGCGCTAGAACGACGTGTCTGCTTTAATACCTGCCCAGGTAACACGCATACCAATACATTAATAACATACAAATACCAAAAATCATTGTTTAACGATCTTTTGTATAAGGTTTTTTTATAATTTTACCGGCATTATCTCCCCTACCTTATTCTACTCCCATTGTATTTTCGACCTAATAACTATCATCCGTCATCTCATTCTCTTGATCATGTCACCTTTCACGCAATACATCTAACCGAATTTATTTTAGTGATAGAAATAGAAATAGAAATAGAAATAGAAATAGAAATAGAAATAGAAATAGAAATAGAAATAGAAATAGAAATAGAAATAGAAATAGAAATGGAAATGGAAATGGAAATGGAAATGGAAATGGGGAAATGGAAATGGAAATAATTTTATTGAAAAATAAGAGATTAATGACAGGGATAGAGAAATAGCTCATATAAAACCTTTTGGCATATAATATAGGAAACCAATACCAGTTATAGCACCATTAGTGCTTTAGGCAAAGTTTGCTCACTGTTTTTCGTACTTTGGAGGGCTGGGTGGGTTAATAGGCCTTCATTATTCTTTATTATTTTATCATCATCATCAATCTTGATTTGCCCACTGTTGAAAATAAGCCTTTGTTACAGTGTAATTCTCTGATTGAACCCTTTTCTGGCCAACGCCCTAAAGGCACTAGTTTCCTTTTTTTTATAATATAAGGTGGCAAACGAGCAAGCGGCCACCTGAATCTACCGAAATGGAAAGCGACCGCTGCCCATAAACATCTGCAATTGCAGACCCTTAATTGACGGAGGAGGAGCCACACATAAAGAGGAAATTTCCCCTTCCTATGCGTCCCCTCCGCCGCCAAATCCACTTTTCCTTCCCATCCTTTTCTATAAGAAAAGGGTGGAAAGGAACTAAATTTAGGCCTCCGGCACCACACTCATCAGACGAAACGCGGAATTGCTTCCACTTCACGCCTGTTTTCTGTGTGGTCGTGGTATTGGTGGGGGCGAGCCGGTCCATTCGTGCGAAGATGTTAAAGCGGACCCTACCACTGTTGAACTCTTCCTACTATATTTGCTCTATAATAGTTTCAAATTTGTTAGTTTGTATATATATGTTTTTAGAATCAGAGAGTGGTTGGGGTGCGTGGGGCGCGTGGGGCGCGTGCTCGGGCGGCGAGCGTGTGCGCACGCGTAGCTGCGAGGCGGGCGCGTGCGGCGGCGCGCGGGCGCAAGTCGCACGCTGCTCCGACGACACTGAACTAGATAATGGTATGTTAATGGTCCTTTAAGTCGGATATGTTAGATTAAATGTTGCTCGTGACGTTGATGGTCCTTCAAGTCGGATATTTAAATAAGATCCCACTATCAGCCCCTTAGACAAAGTAACTTTCGACTACCGATGTCTGTGGTAGAATCGACAAAATGTGTAAAAACTGTTCGTACCAAAAGACCAGTTATCGACTCTAAGTGCGACAGATATAGTTTACTCATTCATACTTGTTTTTTTTATATATAAATCAAGTATTTATGACTTCCTAAAGTTTTTTTTTAAGTGCAAGTGTTGTGTTCTCTTATAGAGTTGTACGCAATGCCGGCGTACAGCCAGAACGTGGAGATGGCCTCATTCGTGACAGGATCTGGGAATGAGTCTCTGAGCGTTGGTGCGATTGTTGGCTGCGTGGTGGCCGCGTTTACTATGGGTGAGTACTAGAAAAGTCGTTGTTATATTAATTAGGTATAAATAAGTAATTTATTGTACTTTTCTATCAAAAAAATCATTATTTTCTCTCTATTTTATCCTTCGATTTAGTTTTTTGTTTTAGAAAAGATTTTAACTTTATTCACGATAGATGGTGCTGTAAACTATCTCATTTATTTTATATTATCAAGGAAATTAGACATAATTAGATATTTTCAATCAAAATAATTTACAACAATTTAATTTGATATTTTAAAAAAGTTTTACCTGTATTTTTCTCCATTTAAAAAAGTTATTATTATTACGTCGATAGATGGCGCCGTAAGTTTCAAAAATAAAAGAAACCATTTATAATTTAATTTTTATTTGTGCCCTTTTTTTGCAAATAAGTTACTATAATTTTCAGTATTTTTAATTGCAAATATAAAACAAAAATCTGATATAAAAGAAAATTTAACAAAAAGTTCTGAATCTCGCTATCAAAGTTTTCCAAGTGGTTTGTATAAAAGTAAACGACTTTATAGTTCAATCGTGTCTATTGAAAGGAGAGACGGTTAGCACTCCCCTTGACAAGGATGGAACACATTACATGGTTAAGGCACTACTTGACCACATTTTTTTAATAAACACAAACATCTACCCTAAGTAAGGGTAGGCCATAGTCAACCACGCTGGCCCATCGCGGGTTAGTTGACTCTACACCTATCTTTGAATTACTTCACCGATATGTGCAGATATCACGATGTTTTCCTTTACCGTAAGAACGTCGGGTAAATTATGTACATATGAAAATTCGAAAAATCGAAAATCACATTGGTATATGGCGGGATTCGAACCCAAGACCTCTGTAGATTACAAGTCAAGTGTTCAAACCACTGAGCCACCGACGCTCAACACAAACGTAATTATTAAAAAAAAAACTAGTTATCGCCTGTGACTCCGTCCGCATGAAATTTAAAAAAAAACACAAATGAGTAGCGGTAGTCTGGAATAACAACACATAATAGCCTTCCTATGTATTCTTCTAGAATATCCTCTACATCTATGCCATTCACCAAGCCATTCAGCCATTCAGCAATTTAGGCTACAAACATCCATCCTTACTTTCGTATTTATAATCTTATAAGTTTAGTAATATAATCAAATTTCAAAATAATCTTATCTATCAATTTTAAAAAAACATTGCACTTTTAGACACTGTCGCCAGTTACAATTTATACTATGCCAGTTGCATAAAAACCAGTGTTTAACTGTCCTACTGTATCCAAGTTCAAGCATTATATTTGACCGCAGGTTGCCTCGTGTGCCTGGCGGGGGTGGTATTCTGGCAGCGGCGGGGTGCGGGGCGCGCGCGAGTGCCCTCCAGCCCGCACTACATCACCGCCAAGCAGAACAGCTACGTCACCGTACCTCTTAAGGAAGTTGTAAGTATATGAGTTTATTTTAATTATAGGGTTGCCAGACAGTTAACGATTTCATTTTGTGCCAGATATATTGAAATTGTTTTAGAAAAAGAACTGTTTTTTACAGTTACAAGTACAGTTACAACAAGAACTGTTACTTATAATTTTATGTCGTATATATTTTAATAGAATTATTTGTACTTGCTAGTGAAAGTGTTAAAGCGTGTGCTTTGACTAAAGTATCGCACAACTGTTGTTCGATTGTCGATTGTTGTACAGCCAATTCAACTTGTTAGTTGCACGACTAAAAATAGAGTAAAGCACCTCCATATAAACTCATAGGGATCAAAGCGACACTAAACACTTGTGCGATAGTTTGTTCAAAGTTGTGCGCGCTCCTAACCTGCAGTACTTTTATCAGTAAAAAAAGAGGGAATAGTTCAGTTATTGTATATTTTGTATTTCTATAAATGTTAATATACTTAACCTTTCCACAGCCGCGTAAAGCTAAACGCCAACCATCGTTCAGTGGTATGAGTGGGCCTAGCGTGCTACTCTCAAAGAGTAATAACATTCCCGCCAATAACCATAATACGGGGCTGGCAACACCCAAACTGTACCCCAAGGCGATCGCTAATGAATACGACTCCGGTACATTAAGACGACATTCCAACCAGCCTAAGAATAACCTTGATATTGAAGAAGATAAGTTCTATTGAAAGGTCATTGGTTAAATGGTTAACCATTATTTGAAAATAAAACAATGGCTATCTTGGTGTGTAATCAAAGAGCTCATAGATTATAGATTGACCTGTTTCGATTAAATCGGACCCATATTCAAGAATGTTGACTTTATTTGGTGTTTGTGACTTTATGGACCTCTACGGACGTTAATTCTTTATTCCCAGTGTGACAGATGTCAATCTGACAGCTGTCAAAAGAATTTAATTAATTGACTATAATCTTTTTGTGTTAGTGTTAAAGTAAATTAAATATATTATAGCAAACCTAATTCGGACTTGAAGTTTAAGAAAATTAAGTGAACATCTAGTCGGTTTGCATTGATTGGAGTATATTTTATACAGTTTTGTGACGTCATAAGTATTGTAAGATGTGATTGGTCGCTAGATTAGGTTAGTTTTAATTCGTCCAGTGCCATCGTAACTAAGAATGTGTTTTTATACGTATTTTAATAAATATCTTATTTACATAATAAATAATATATACAAGAACAAATACATGTGCCATGTAAATAATAGATTTTTTCCCCAGTATATAGTATCATTTCAAGTGCAGTAAATAGAATTATATTTTCTAATAATTGTAGTAAAAATGAAATGTTTATGTTACGTTAAGATTGTTGAACATTTCAACATAAATATTGACTCATGTTGAGTCTGTGTGTGTGATTATTTTTATATGCTTTTTTAAAAATAGAATTCAATGTATATGTTGTATTTAACTTCTATATACATATAATCTATGTAAATACATAATGAAATTATATTTTGAAAAATATTCTTGACTAGCTGTTCCCGTGCGGCTTCACCCGCATGAAATTGTGAAAATTTTATTTTATCGTTTACATTTGACAAATTATCAATTGCAAATGTCAAAATGACATGACATGATGACAACCTAGCTTCTTTGTTGTTGGCAGCAACTTAGTCTCTTTCCCATATTGGGGTTTTTATCCAAAATATTTACCCCTTAAGTTTAATGGCGTTAAAATATAAAGTCTAATGCGTGGCGAAAGTGTTAGGACTTTTTATTAAAAAAAGAATTATTCAAAAATGTGCTATAATTGCTGACATCTTAGGCAACAAAGAAGTGTGTGTTTACGCTTTATTATAATAGTATAGATTAAGCTGGGCATAATCACTACAGATAATAAAAAAAACATACATTTTAACTAACAATCTACACTTATGTATTTTAATTTCATAGTTTTTTTATTCCACTAATGTGTTTATTTTCTTTCATGAAGTTACAATTAAAATTGTAATTTATGATTAATTTTTTTATTTGTGTTTAAATTAGTTTCTCTACTTCTTGATATGATATAATGTGCCTTATGGTGAAGAAATTAGAGTATGTTTTAAATATGTACTTTGAACATTGCCTCTCTGAAAATGCTAAAATTAGCGTGAGTTATGCTTTTAATTTGTTATTTTATGTAATGTTAGTGTCCTCAGAATTATTAAATGTAAAAAGTTTTAAATAAATAAAATACTGGATCCATATACATTTATTTTTAGTATGTTAGTATAAAATTTAATTCAATAGACTCATACTATTTTATTTTATAATCTTCAGAGAGGCAAAGTTAGAAAAATAACTCATTTTAGAGGCTTTCTCTTTAACTCACCGATTTTTAATGTTGTATGTTTTTATGTTCTTGTGATCTGTTTTATATTGTACGTAATTGCTTATGAAATTTCCTAAATATATTTTATTCTTAAAAATTGTTTATAATATATGTTGTTTTAAGGTAACGACGTAAATAAAGACTGCCAATTAGATTTTAGTTTATTTACCTTTTCAGAATACAACCTTAAAAAAATTAACATATTTCTGGTTTCTTTTCGAACAGAAGGAAAATATTTCTGGAGTGAAATTAACATTTTTACGAACTCTTAATCTTCTGTACTTTAGACTTATTGCATAAGTATTTTATCAAATATACAAACAAACAAACAAATCCAAAAATCATTATTATAAAGTCTAGATACATTTTCTGGTACCAGGACAGCAGAAGTGCAGTAGAGCGATAGTGAGACGCGCCGTTGGTCCGTACCACGTGCTCTATCCAATGTACCAATTCTTTACCAGGTGGTACACGATCGTGGTACACAAATGAAGTTTCTTTCATCGCCTCATTATATCTATAAAACGTGAATGAAAAAATTTAAATCTCAAACTACATTAAGGGCCTGGCCTATTAGCTGACAGAGGCTCAGATAGCTTAAAAATGACGTCACTGTCAGATAGAGTAACATAATCCGATATTCCCATCACATTTTACACGTTGGATTGTGATCAGACAATTTACGATTTGGTGGGACAGGCCCTTACTGATTTCAATTGTGTTTTAGCCATTCGCATCAAATTTAACTAGTCTAACTAAACTAGCACTAAGACGGAAGAATCCTGGCTCTGAAGTTGGTAACTTCATAAATAAATCTTTTGAAATTATACTCTATCTTATATAAAGTGAACTAAACGATGGATCCAAAGGTTCGAAACTCACGTATTATTGTTCAGCATTTCCTGAATAGCGTCTCTCAAGTCCTCAGCCAAGTTCATACTCAATGCAACCTTTTTAGCGATACCTCTTTGAACAGATTTTGCTACGTTAAAGTTCTGGTCATAGAAAACTGGAAGACCAACAAACGGTACAGAAAAATGTACCGCTTCTGTTACTGACAACATGCCGCCGTGTGTGATGAATAGAATGCAGTTAGGGTGTGCTGAAAATCAATTTATTAATGCAAATTAACTATATTAAATCTAAATCATATGAAAGAAAACCATAAAGAAGATTGGAATTATACATTTAACATTTTTAAACAATTCTTTTAAAGCTTATTATATATGATAAAATCCAAAAAATAGTCATGTGAACTTACAAACCTATAAGACTATTAGCGCCATCTATAGTTACAAAAATTAAAAATATTTTGTAACTGCATTTTGAAACAAAATATAATTGGAAGTGAAGTAACTATAAATTAGATAAACTCAATTACCGAGAATACTTTGTTGCGGTGCCCATTTCAAAATATGTACGTTTGCAGGTTTATTTGGCAACGATTCCTCGAACTTCCATACAACTGTCTGTTGCAAGTTTCCAAATAATTTGAGCAAATCTTTCAACATCCTTTCGGGGAAATCTTTACTCTTTAAATTCGATCCTAAACTAAAATATATAACTCCATGCTTTGCATTATCCATTATATTCTTCAGATCCTAAAACAAAAAAAAAATGGTAGTTCAAATCGATTATTACGAAATATTCTTGTATTAAATTCTCACCCAAAATAATTAAAATCATAATTTGACGCGAGTTCAAATATTTTTTTTTATTTAAATGAGGTACAACATACCTTAGCTAATGGTATAACGTCTATATGATATCCAGCGATAGGAATATAATTTCCGGGTAGTGACAACGCCTGACCGATAGATGGCACTGTATTACCCAAAACAAACGACGCGTTATACCTCAATACGTCATACGGAGGTAGTTTCCTGCCTCGTTTCTTTAAAATTGGACTAAAAATTTCCTCGTAAAGATCCTTCTCTATATTTTCATAAAATCTATCAAAAAAAATTAGACAATTTTTTCTTTAAGTTGTTACTATACAGTTTTTCTTTAGTAAAATTTGCAAATTTTAAAAAGTATGCTATACTTACAATAAATGTTGCAGCCTGTTTATTACACGAAACCATAACGAATAAACCCGTTGCAAGAAATCAAACGGTGGCACATCACTAGTTTCAATATTAGCCGTATACGCCGGATTAGAGAGTTCTCCGAGTAAACCAAGACTGACGGAATTTGTCTCGTAAGGAAACGACCAAATGTATGGACAATCAAATACTGCTGAAAATCTGAAATAAATCACATAGTACCCGTTGGTAGATTTTGGCACCTTTTAAGTCCAGCATCACGTGAATTTTGGAACGGTAAGCACTCACTGAAACGCCATTACTTGATGTTAGAACTTGTGCTAGATTTTTATTGGATTAGATTTCAAAACCACAAACTTTTTACATATTTAGACGCTAATAGTCGTAGGTAGTTTAAAATTAACAAATACCCGCAATAGATATCATTGAACATCCACTCAGCGACAACAATATCAAATTTCTCTAAAGGATCGTTGAGTAAGCGCTGCACTGCGTCGTTTTTTAGCGTGTTCTTTGTTATGTTTAACGCTAATTTGAAATGTCGGTCTTGATCCATTTCGACTTTGTGCAACATAAGTGCTGTTATGTTTAATGAAGGACCTGAAAAATGTGTATTATTTGACGTAACGCTGTGTGCTGTACTGTGTGGTAAAGTGCGGTAAACAACTATTACGCTAGAGGCTAGCCACCGAGGGTTTAAGTGGGTCAAACCCCACATAACCCTGTCCCCCGAAAAGGCAGGGTGTCTTTTGAATATATCCTGCCCGATACAAAAAAAGGCTAACATACACAGCCTGCTTTGAAACGTTCATAATGCCACACACATAGGCCACAGTTTGTGTGCTAAAACAGACACCTGTAATTTGAAGCTAGTGTAAGGAATCAAATTGATAAATATAAAATGCTTACCGCTAATGGCGTTTACAGTGTCTCCGGTGCTGATCAGTCGAAGATTGGAATCAGAACTATCGTACGGGAACGGTGTTATATATGTCACCTGTATAATATAACAATGACATAAACAACAATAATAATATATGTAATCACTTCACTCTGTTCAACAAATAAAAAAACATACATACGAATTAAGTTTCTCCTTCTTTTGGAGGTGGGTTATTATTATTGCATAATTTACTCTTTACTTTACTCTGTTTACATAATTTCGAAGTTGAATTGAAACGAGATATAGTTTACAGTTAAAAACTACAAACTTACTTCTTATATTATAAATGCGAAAGTTTAGATAGATGTTTTGAAAGGTATACTTAGATGGCTCAACGGATCTCGCTGTTTGGTATAAAACATAGTCTGGAAAACCACATATTCTTCTCGTAAGTTTAAATACCGAGCGTACGGTGTGGCGGTCGACAGATATTTATAAAATTCATACCTCATGTCCAGCTTTTAATAGATTTCTGACAAAACCATCTCCCAGATTTCTATGACTTCCCGCTGGCATAGGGAATACAATTAAAACTTTATATGCGTGTATACACGAAAATATCAAACATGCCCATATTGCAAACGTTTGTTGTAAACACATTTTGAATAATAAATATTATGCAGTAAGTATTCTTCGCTAAATAATTCTTTGATATCAGGATGATTACGCGACGTATCTTGAAGTTTATAGCTTGTTATAAGATAAAAAATAGATATAACTAAATGCTATAAACAAATTTTTACAACATTACTTACGTATGGGAAATTATTTCGTAAATTTAAACCAAGATTCAGACGCTGCAGCTATTTAGAAATCTGTTTTCTTAATGTATGTAAAAACAATATTAACACTTATGAATAAAACGGTAAAAAACATCGTAGGAATCAATAAAAAAGATATAGTTAATAATTGTTTTAAAAGATTTTATTATTATCAACAATGAAAAATATTATTTCAAACTATAATATCTTTTTCTTTTGCATTTTTCTTCCAGTATACATTTTTATCACATAAATCGTACCAAATAACACTGAAAGTACCAACACTAATAGATCTAAATACATTTTCTGGTACCAGGACAGCAGAAGTGCAGTAGAGCGGTAGTGAGGCGCGCCGTTGGTACGTACCACGTGTTCCACCCAATGTACCAATAACTTACCAGGTGGTACGGGACGGTGGTGATAAACAAATGACAGCTCTTTTATTTTCTCACGGTATCTGCACAAAAAAACATTTAAAACTGTTAAAAAAAGCAGCAACCAAAATTGCCCGGTTTCAAAATAAATCTCATTAAAGTTATTGCTTTTTATAGAAAAAAAAAGATAAATTTACACTTTTAGTACTTTTATCATTCATTACTAGCTGTGGTTTGCGATTTCGTCCGTGTGATAAAAAAAAATAACAAAAACAGCTTATGTAAGTGATAACGTATCGTTTAATTAGTAAAAGATTTTTTGAAATCGGCTAAATAATTTTTGAGTTTTGCAATACATTCAAAAACACAAAATTTTCCTCTTTATAATATTAGTATAGATTATACTTATTACCCCTAAGTTTATTATAATTTACTAGCTTTCGCCCGAGACCCCGTTTGCGTGGTATTAAAAAAAACAAGTATCCTATGTGTTCTTCCAGACTATCCTCTACATCTGCGCCAAATTTCATTAAGATCCGTTCAGTAGTTTGGGCTACAAACACTAACATCCATCCATCCATCTAAACTTTCACATTTATAACATTAAGTATAAAAGTATGATAACTTACTTAGGATTTCCAAGCATTTCCTGTATCGCATTCTTCAGATCAATATGACAATTCTCTGATAACATGACTTTGAGACTTATCCCTCGTCTAACAGCTTGGTCTACGTTGAAGTTTTGATCAAAGAAGACGGGTATCCCGATAGATGGCACTGAGAAATGAACTGCCTCAGTCGTCGAGAGTAGACCGCCGTGTGTGATGAAGAGAACACAATTAGGATGTGCTGGGAACAAGTGAAAATTACTTTTAAATTTACCCAAAAACAGCCGATGTCACTCTTTAACTTGGTACAGAGAAGATTTTTTTTTATAACAAAAGGTGGCAAACGAGCAAGCGGCCACCTGATTCCGCTAAAATGGCCGCTGCCCATAGACATCCACAATGGCAAAGGCGTTCCCTTATCCGACAGAGGAGTAGATGCACATAAAAAGGATATTTCCCCTTCCTATGCATATCCTCCTCCGTCAAATCCACTTTCCCTTCCCATCCTCTCCTTATAAGAAAAGGGCGGTAAAGCGAAAGGGACTTAAAATAGGCCTCCGGCACCACACTCATCAGACGAAACACGTAATTGCTTCCACTTCACGCCTGTCTTCTGTGTGGTCGTGGTATTACACCGGGCGTGCCGGCCCGTTCGTGATCAGAACGTTGTAGTTAGTAGGGAAGAGACATCATATAATCGTCTGGAAACCGTAAGAGCGTGCGCAAAGTTAGACTAAACTATCGCACAACTGTTACGCGATTGTCGATTGTTTTTAGGCCAATGCAACTGTTTCGTTGCACAACTAAAAATCGCGTAATGTTACCTCCATTTAAGCTCATAGAAATCAAACCGAAACTAAAACTAAACTAAACAATGTACATTAACACATATTTAACAATATAAGTAAAGATACTATATTTTGTAAAACTAACCCAAAATACTTGTTTGCGGTGCCCACTGTAATATGTGTACATTTTTGGGTAACTTCGGCAATGCCTCTTCAAACTTCCATATTACAGTCTGTTTTAATTCACCAAACATTTTCAATAAATTCTTTTTATAATGTTCGGGTAAGTCCTTGCTCTTTAAATTTGATCCCAAACTAAAATATATAACTCCATACTTCGCGTTGTCCATTATTTGTTGCAAGTCCTAAAAACAAAAAAAAAATCTGATAAAACTCTAACTTATGCTTCAGTAGAAATAAATCTTACAAAAAATACTTACTTAAACCAAGAACATCTCTAATGCAAGCTACACACGTTCTAATTTACAGGACAGTTTTGACTATTTCCTATCATGTGTCAATCATACAAAACTAAATGTGTCACTTACAAAAAGCTTAACAAATAACTCAAAATAAACATTTCAAACTTAAACTTTTTACAAGTCAAAACTAAACTATCGCAAGAACGAGCGCATAACGTGCGATAGTCGATTGTTTCGCAGCCAAACTGTTTAGTTGCATAACTACCAATCGAGTAATGTGCGCACCTCCATAAGATCTCATAGGAATCAAAGCAAGACTAAACAATTGTGCGATAGTCTAGTCATAAGTGTGCGAATATTCTAAGTCTATACCTCAGGCAAAGGTTTAACGTCGTCAATATGGTAGCCAGCGATGGGCACATAGTTCTGGGGCAATCGCACCGCCTGCCCGAGGGACACATGTGAGTTCCCGAGGATCATTGCTGCGGAATATTTGAACTCGTTGTATGGCTGTAGTTGTCTTCCACGCTTCTCAACTATCGACTTGAAGATACTCTCGTATGCGTCGGTCTCGATCTTTTGGTAGAACCTGAAAGGATATTAAACTGTCGACTTGATTTACAAATGGACGTGGCAAAATACCCTCGTAAAATTATTTAATCTTTGATGATGTGTATCCGTGAGACTCCATTAGATAATAACATGTTTTATGATGATTTTGCAGTAGAAATCTTTAAAATGTTATTGTACCCTACATTATCATACATCGTCTGTCATCACTCCGTTGGCCATGTCACCTTTCACGCAATCTAACCATCTCTTTCTAAGTCTCTCTCAGTGCCGGATTAAGCCAGCGCGGGGCCTGTAGCAAGTTCTGTCAAGGGGCCCTTGGTTTGCTTCAGGTTCTCTAGTTTATGGTTTTAAATTAAACTAATTAACTGAAAACTGGAAGGAATATAGCCTTAGCTCTTCGCGTTTAAGGCATGCAAGATATTTATGCTCCTATTTATATTAATATTTTTTGTTACTGTTAGCCAGGCGTTGACGCGCGGGGCCCCCAAATTCGCGTTTGCATTTGCTACTCTTGCTATATGGATAATCCGGCACTGCCTCTACCAGTGCATCCTACATTTCAAGTTTAAAACATCATTGTTTACTTACAGAAAATACTTCACCCTGTGCATTATTTGAAACCATAGCGCGAACACACGTTGGCCAAAGGTGAAAGGTGGGATGTCACTGAACTGTATATTGGCGGAGTACGCAGGGTTGCTTGCCTCGTCTATCAGACTGAGGCCCACGAAGTTAGGCTCGTAAGGGAACGACCAAATCAAAGGGCAGTTGAACACAGCTGCGATACTGAAAGAAAGAAGAAACTTTGACTCGTATTCCTGTAGGTAAAGAAAAGAATTTAACTGTGTACTTAAGTAAGGGTAAAGTAAAGTAAGTAAAGGTCCTTACCTTTTAATTAATTACAAACAAAAACTGATATTGGAAATAATTTTGGTAAAAACTAAGAAGTTAATCCTAAACGAAATATTTACACTTTGAAGGATTTCTAGAGGCAACTTCTTGAAATGTAAATATAACCTTATCAATAAATAAAATATTATTTTGATGAACTCCGATTTAATTATAGGGTTGCCATAATAATTCTTAAGTACCCGCTGTATATCTCGTTGAACATCCACTCAGCGATCACGACATCAAAGCGTTCAGACGCGTCATTGAGTAGAGCCTGTACTGCTGCGTTTTCAAACGTCTTCTTTGTCACGTTCACTGTCATGTGGAAGAGTAGATCTTGATCCATTTCAACTTCATGCTTCATCAGAGCTTGTACGTTTAATGCTTGAGCTATAAACAAAGGGAAAATCTAACTTAAATAAAATGGTATAAATGTTGGTCGCGACTTCGTACGCGTGATATAATAATAAAAATATAGCCTATGTTATTCATTGATATCGTAGCTTTTTAATAGTGAAAGAATTTTTGAAATCGGTCCAGTAGTTTTTGAGTTATTTCAATGCATACCGATGTCGATTGTCGTTTGTTTCGCAGCCCATTCAACTTTAGTCGTTTAGTCAAATTGTGTGCGCGGTCTATATTTTTGCACGAGTTTCGACAAATGGAAATAGACAGTAAATAATAATTTTAAACTACCCACCATTCACAGCGTGGACGTTGTCCGCAACGCTTATCTGTCTAAGATTAGGGTTCGGATTCGTCTTAGGAAACGGCGTTATGTATGTGACCTAAAATAAATTTTTAAAAAAGATTTATTACCATTATTAACTAGAATTAAAATAGACAATTTTCCCACAGTTACAATGAAGGTAATAAAAAGAATTTCATAAAATGCTGGTTTTCACCCGCAACTCTATCCGCGAGGAATTAAAAAAAATAAAAGTGAGTAGCCTATGTTGTCTTTCAGACTTTCCACTACACCTATAGCAAATTTCATCGAGATCCGTTCAGCAGTTTAGGCTACAAACTTTAAAAAATCCATCTAAACTTTCGCATTTATAATATTAGTGAGATATAACATATACCTCATGACCAGCATTTAGTAAATGCCTAACATATCCATCACCAAGATTACAATGACTTCCAGCAGGGAACGGGAATACCACTAAGATCTTGGACGCATCAGCACAAATTATCAAACACAAAACAACAAAGAGAACATTTTTTATTGGGAACACCATTTTGTTTAAAAAAACTTTTAAAAGTATTATCCAGAAAATTCTAATCATTTAAATTTATTATGGTCACCGTTTTTCTAAACTCATTTTTAGCTTAATTACAAAAATAAAAAAAAAGTGATGAAAACTACAAAACACTTATAAAATAGATTTAGTTTTCCAATAAGTTAATTTTACGATTTCTCTTTTAGTTAGTTTTAAACATAACTAACTACAGATTATTTCGTAATTCATTTAGCAACATGTCCGTACTCCGAAGCACATGACATCTCGACTAAACAACTAAGATCAAATCAAAATGACCCTGAACTGTCTCTAACGCGTTATCAATTCAACCACAGAGTTGTTTATGTAATTCACATGCTAATTATTTCCTACGGTAAGTAATTTAAATAAAAAGTTAATTCGACAATCACTGTTGAAAGATAAACAGATTACACGACACATATATGAAAAAGCTATATTAATAAATAACTTAGGGCCGTGACTCCGTCCGCGTGAAATTAAAAAAAAAAGCAAGCAGCCTATGTGTTCTTCCAGTCTTCTCTACATCTATGCCTAACTTTATCCAGATCCGTTTAGCAGTTTAGGCTACAAACTCTAACAAACATCTATCCATCTAAACTTTCATGTTTATAATATTAGTAAGATTATCATTAACAAAAATCTATGTGTCAGAGCCGAAAAAGGCAGACACGTGCCAGATTTGTCCAAGGTACCAAATAATTTTTTTGTTAAAAACTGGCATTTACGTTATTTGTTATGACCTATTAAAAAAAATGTTTGCGTACTTAATGTCATTTTTAACTCTATGGTAACATTATCTAACAGTTAACAAAGAAATACGTTAATTAAAGTACACAATAGCGAGAACGCTATTGTTGGAATTACAAACAGACGCACATGACATCCGATACTACCTTATTATTAAGATAAAATGTTATCTAGACTGTTCTTAAACGTCTATTATTTGAGATCTTTAAATTATTACGTTAATAATTGACGTCCAGAACATTTCATTTAAAATTATTATTACTAGAAACGCATAAACGGCTAACTCATCACGCTGTGTGTAAAGCATAAAGATATGTCAGAATCCATGAAATAAAATCCCAAGTGGACGCTTACAGCGATTAGCAGCATGATTGCAAACAATAACAATCTTCGCAACGGAATGTCTATTTAATGAGTACAAAGTACTATGACCGTCTGGGGACACAAACTTCCCCAATCCTTTGTTGTAATCATCATATATCATATCTTATTAATCTTATTATCTTACTAATATTATAAATGCGAAAGTTTAGATGGATGGATGTTTGTTAGAGTTTGTAGCCTAAACGGCTGAACGGACCTCGATGAAATTTGTCATAGACGTAGAGGATAGTGGTGAAGAACACATAGGCTACTTTTTATCCCGGGAATAGTTATGGTTCCCATGGGATTAATTAAATTAGTTTTTTAATGTTTACTCGATCATTCTGCAACGGTTCAACATATCTTATTGAAATTTGGCACAGATATAAAACAAAGTCTGGAGTACACATGGGATAAAGTTCATCCCCGAGAAATGTCGGATTCTTCGAATACGAGGATACGGAGCTTTTTGTTATTTATGTAGGTCGTATGTTTTGTAATACCACGCGGACGAAGTCACGGGCAAGCTAGTATTTTATATTATAACTTGCATTCTTTTAATACCGGTGGCAATACTTTCTAATAAAACGTCCATTAATAATTATATGAGTGGGCATTATCAATAGGATTTAATATATCAGCAATATTGTCCAGTTCAAATTAATTAACTTCCTATCTCAAGTGGGCTAATAAATTCGATATACAACTTAATATCCAACTTCAGTTTTCGTTATAAAAGAATCGAGGATACTGTAGTTTTATCATTCGAAAATAGGATTATTAAATATGAAGTCTGTAGTAATTTTTTGCATTTTCCTGGCTGGATGCAAAGCTTGGATAGATAAACCACAAATATTCGGTAAGTATTGTTTTTAGGTTAGGTTAGTTACTTTTTTTAATAATCCTTAAAAGTTACGACAAAAAATAATGTTGTATTTGAATTTAGAGCTACAAAAAACATGAAAAAATAGTGATTTTATTTTTAATTCTATCATGTTTTTTCTTATAATTTTAAATGAAATGACTATTTTTTTTTAGGATCACAAAGGTGCGTTAACATGTGGGATGAAGGCTGCATCAACGGACAATTGCCCGGATCTGGTAATTATTAAAAATAATCCATCAAAATCACTTTTAAATCAAATACATTGTGTATGTTCCCACACATCACCTTTAATATCTTTGAAATAGGATAGAAACAGATGTCAAGATGTTTTTTGGACATCTGTGGAAAACCACGGCTTGTATGAAAGTCGTACTGTGACTTCGTGCAACCTGTCAGGGACTTTTAATAATTGACTAGCTTTCGCCCGCGACTCCGTCCGCGTGGAGTTAAAAGAATAAATAGCCTATGTGTTCTTCCAGACTATCCTCTACGTCTACGTCTATGCCAAATTTCATCGACATCCGTTCAGCCGTTTAGGCTACAAACTCTGACAAACATCCATCCATCTAAACTTTCGCATTTATAATATTAGTAAGGTTAATATTTTATTTATTTACGCAGGTGGCGACGATGACTATTTAAATGGTGGATTCAATCCAGGAAAACGCTGCATCAATATGTGGGACGAAGGATGTATTAATGGACCCCTAGGAGGTTCTGGTAAGGGTTGCAAATATTTTACATAGATTTCCGTCCTCAAACTTAAATAACTTTAATAGTTATTTAATCACTCAGTGTGGGTAGTTTTCATGCTTAGCTTGTTGCAGTAAGCTGTCTAAATATTATTAATACGAAACTGAAAATATAAAGAGGAAATAATTCTATTTATTTGTCTCAACATGACTCAAAAACAAGCGGGCCTATTCAAAAATCCTTAACCCTTAGAAAGCTACGTTATCGCTGATTAAAATAGGAGAAATTTTTACGTGGACAGTCGCGAGCAACAACTAGTGTTTAATAAAATTAGCTTGTTCTTGTATTTTACAGGCAGCGACGACGACTATCTAAACGGTGGATTTACCCCCGGCAAGAGATCTCTGTACGAACGCCTTCAAAAACTGCGTAAATTCCAAAAACATCGAAATGCTTGAATCTTATCGCTTTTATTTCAAATATTTATTTAAATCGCTATTTCTAATGTACAACCTAGTCTCATCATCGCAGTTTTGTGTCTTGTTATTTATGTTCAATAAATAAATTATTTTCTCTTCAAAGATGTTTTATTTTATCTGCCAATAAACTAAAATCGATTCACCATTTAAAAAACTTTAGACTTTAAGATCGGGTGCACACCTTTGACTGAACTATCGCACTACTGTTGTGCGATTGTCGCTTGTTTTCAATCTCGTTCAACTGTTTAGTTGCACAACTAAAAATCGAGTAGTGCACACCGCCATGTAAGCTCATAAGAATCAAAGGTGTGCGCGTTCTAAAAATGCATTCTAATCTAACAAAAGAAAAACGTGTCTGTGTTTGGTTTTGGCTCTTTTTAAATTCAATAATTTTCCTAGATTTGTTCTTCTGGCTAGAACTGCCTAGACATTGTCGTGAATAGACTTTTCATCTGCATTATACAATAATTATTTAGAACACGGTCAAGCGAATTGGCTTTGCTTCAAATAGCCAAGGTCAGTGACATCTAGTGACAATTGTATAACCAGAAAACGAAAACCTCTAAATATAAGACTCAGGGCATAAAATAAAACCAGACATAACTATCAAACTTTATTAGTATGACATAAAACCGTGCCTTATGCATCTAGTTTAAAAAAATAACATATAAAAATAGACAATATCGTTTAAATTTTGCAATAAAATTGCAATTTACAATTGCTTATTAATCTAATGATAGATTTTTTTCCAAACATTACTAAAAAATTCACAGGCTTATAAACATCTAGGGATTTAGCCACGGAAATATGAACTTATATTTATTAAAAAGGTTAAAATCCAGCATTTACATTTCCATGACTTCAATCACTAAATCTATTCATACACTTATAACTGGACATTAACAAACTTTCAGGCTTAATTGCTTGGCAAGTTATAATTAAGTTACATTTATATGGTCAAGTTAAAACAGTCTGATAAGTGAAGAAAAGATTAGTATACCCATAAGTTAAAGTTTGTTGACATTTTGTTTACAATTTACCACATCTTTTACATTTAAATTTCAACCTTTCCACAAAAATGTGCAACATTTTTGTGATAAATATGTGAAACTTGTAATTTCATTAGGTTTTAAATTTGAATAATTTTACAATATGATAGTCACAACAAATACAATTTTGTTAATACACAGTACTGATTTGTGTTTGGGCTTTTTACAGGATAGAACACTGAAAGAATATGCCTAAAAATACAATAAAAGTGTGTTTAAAATAAAAAAGATGTAGAGATTTGGTTTTAAAAGCAAAGCTAGAAAACAGCTAGGTAAAAGTTTAAACAACTAATGTTGAATGTTTTTTTTTAACGGTAATACCCATAACCAAGCATCAAATTAAATCTAATTTTATCTGGAAAAAAAAACAGACAAATTGATTACCTCCTTCTTTTGGGAAGTCGGTCAATTTTATGTTGAGTATTATCTTATATTGTAAAAGACAAGATGTATTGGCCATTCATGTTACTGTCTTTTCATCATTATGTTAGTAAGGACCATTAATTCGTATACAAAAAAAAAATTGATTGGCAATTAAGGTCAACTGATCACAGCAAGTAAATGCATATAAATAGTTAAATAAGGGACTTTGTCAAAATTGTCCGATAAGCACAAGATAGAATTACATAACAAAGAACACAACTTTACTCCACAGATATTGCAAAACATTTAGTTTAAATATATTTATGAATAATATCATTGTTTTCAAATATACATCATCAGAATTCAGTATCAAGTACTTATATGTAAGCAAAAATTATTCAATCTAACACAGTTAAAATGACTCATATTAATAAATAATGAAAACAAACACAGTATTTATGCTATTTCTTGACTTGACACCTACTCAAATTCACTTATTGTGTAATAAAGGAAAATTGTACATGTCAATATTCTATTTTTGTTTATATCATAAATGGCAACTACTATAGGCAAAATCACTGGGTAAATGTAAAATCCAATAATATTTATAAACTGAACTATAAATATGAAACAGTTGCTTCATGAAGTATATTTCTATGTCTGCTTAAATCTTTAAAATTTAGCCAGATATTGTTGCAGTTCTTTTTTATTGACAGAATGATGCAAGAGGAAAATTTATATATATAAAGTAGAGAAATACTCATAATCTTAGAGGTTTCTAAAGTGTTCTCATAAGTAAGCATTGACATGCGAAGCCAGGGTGGGTCATTAGTTTCATTAAATGGAGAACTTATAGACAATTTTGACAAAGTTTTAAACGGTGGGACATAAAGCATTGTACTTTTATTAGGAAATCTTATAAAATACAGGCAAAATAATCATACACAAATAAGCTAAAACATTATAAAGCATCATTAATCTAAGTGTAAACTGGGCACTGAAAACATCTATATTTGACCTGAAAAGTTACTTTTAAAACATGTAACTATTCCTTGTATGGATCGCTTTGTTTCTACTTTAACTTCTAATAAAAATTAATTTTATAAACACTTATAAAACTCATTAAAATATGCTCTTCAGATTTCAATTCCTAAATACTAGTTCATCAAGACTTATGTATTCTATATTCTATTAATTTATTGTCAACAGATATTCCATTTTAAATATTGTTTGTTTTCCATTTCTACTCTAAAGTTTTTTTATATCTATCACAGGTATGTACATATTGGTATACAGTAGAACCTCGATAAGTTAAAGTCCAAGGGAAACACAAAATATTTTAAGTTATAGAGGTTTTAAGTTATCAAGCGTCTATGTTATAGAGATTTTGGGCTCTGATGGGAAGGGAACATATTATTTTTAAATTATCGAAGTTCTACTGTATACATTTTTTTTACTAGAAAATTTAATTGACACATTTTAATCATCTTACTTATTTATATGTAAAACTAGAGATCTGATATAATAAGTACCTATTCAAAGGATTGTTTCGAGGGGCATGGCTTATTTGTATTAAGCGACATCCTGGAAGATATTAATAATTCATGATTAAAAAAATACAAACTAGACTAAACTAAGTAAAGAAATTAAGGCCACATTTTTATAGAATACTATAATTTGCCCGCTATCCGTCTTTGACAATTTAAAAAAAGTAAGTTGCCTATGTCTACATTCGGCCAGATCCGTTGAGCTATTTAGGTAGCAAACTACATCCATCCATTCATTCATGCATGTAAATTTTCGCATTATATTAGTAAGGTTCTTTTTTTTTTTAAAGAAACTATGAATCTTTCTTCTATAAAATTCCAAAAATGTCACAACACACATAGCCGGTAACCCCTCAATATGACATATCTAATAGAAATATTTATTTATGTATAAATAATGGTTAGTGACTAATGTCAACTAATCTTAATTAATTTGTCCATGCCAGTGTTCTTGGCTGAACTGTGGCATATCCATTGGCACTTTATTGTAAGCTACATTCATATTTGGAGCTGCGGCAGGTGCCTTTTGAGCATTAGCTTGCCTGAATTTCGTAGAATATTTATAGAAATCGGACATCTCAAATGGTTTAGTCTCCTCCCTGTATGGTATACATTTACCCTGTTCAATAACAGTCATGTTTTTCGGTGACTCTAAGGAGACCGCACCAGGGGACAAGACTGGTGGACTATGTGGAATCAAATGAGGACTCTGCATAGCTGAATGTCTACCTGATGCTATCATTACTTCATAAGTCTGTGAATTACCAAGACTGGGTGTACGTTTCAAACTGGATGTCTTCTTTATAAGTGGCAATTCAGGTTTTGTTGGTGAATCTAGAGATGTCTCATACCATTGTTTCTCTTTTACTTTACCATCGGCTTGCGAGAGTGGAGAAAATTTGTTCATACTTACAGAATCAAAGTTACCTTGGGAATAGCCAGACATTTGGCTGACGGGACTCAAAGCGTCAGGATAATGTTTTCTATCTTCGAAACCGTAGTCATCTGTAGATACTTGCAATTGCATGTGAATCGGATTTCTTATAACATTACGTTCTCGTAATGGTAGAGAATTTGGCACGGTTGCCATTCGTTCGACAGGGTGCATTCTTTCTGGCTGTTCTTGCATATCATGTTGAGATCTGTGTTGATACACAGGAGCTGGTGGTCTGTATGCATCGGACATGTTTTCTAAATGTTGATTGTAGTCACTATGTGACGTAAGATGATATGTCTGCGTCCTTTGTAACGTGTTTCGGCGTACACCGTCGTTGCGTCTTTTAGATTGTATTTGCATTTGATGCTGGTATGCTAATGCACCTAAATGTTGACTTTGAGCCTTCAAGTGGGATGCATATTGGTACAGTAGTGGTGTATTGCGTACACCATTTTGCTGTGGGACCGGTTGAGGTGCAATTGTCCCATGGGTGTAGTGTGTGGTGATGTCTGGATGACTTGAACTGAAGTGTGTCTCTCGTAATCTTGTTGCATTATGACCTTCTACAGGATTATTGTAGTACATTCTGTTTGTATACTCAGTTGTCATAGTATGATGTCTGTAAACAGGGCCTTGCTGTAGCTCATTCTGAATGTTGTCAGTTGGACCTGACTCATGGCGTCCAGCTAGTGTAGGATATGTATGTGAAGTGTGTATTGAAAATGTCTCGGGATTTCGTTCTTGAGGTGGTGACGGAAAGAAATTTGAACAACTAGTTTCGGGACGACGCAATTGTCTAGGGTGCGAGCTTTTAGATATGCCGGATATTGACGGAGTAGATAACCTGTGACATACATTTTTACGAACATTTGGATCACACTCAAGTATACGATCTGCCGGACCAATTCTGATACGACGTGATGAAGTATCCGATCCATCTTGAACGTCTGTTCCGTCTGTGGACCTCTCTACACTTCGAACACTACCCAAACGTTCTCTTTGTGGCACTTCGGGACTTAGAGGCGCTTCCGGTGGCATAACACCAGTTAATTGAACTTCTTGAACACATAATTTGTACAATTCTTCATTTTTTGATAAGAGCATTTGTTCCAATTCTTTCTTTCGAGCTTGCAACTTCAAAAGTTTGTCCTGCTTATCAGAATGCAAATCGCTCCCCATTGTGCTGGTACCCATATTCACTACACTACACAACACATTAATAAAACTGAAAGGAGGAACTCAGTAAAGGAAAGTTTTACTTATAAGAATTAAAAGAAACATAAACAAAGAAAATTATAAGTTAAAACTTTATTGACACCTTACATGGTTCACGCCAAAGCAGATTATAAAATTCATGCTTTTTAATTCTATCTATTAAATGTTGCTCTGTATACATAGATACAAAATAGATAGGTCATCGCTTGGAAATGACAGCGTTGTTCCGTTTTGAGGTTGACGTTATAGGTAATTCGGATGTTATTCGCACTGATGACTTTAATTCGAATTTTCACCCTTACCAACCGCTACCATCAGCGCCTAAATGGTGAAAATGAAATAGACACAAAACACTACCGTTAATAGCCTACCGTTGATACACTGATCAATCAAGTGTTGCCAAATACCATAAAGTAGTTTTACTGTTTTACTGGAATAACAAAATCCTAATAAGACATAACTCTATTCACATATGTTTATTATTATTTAAATTTAATATCGGTGCAACCTGTATAGTGTAAACCTGTAAAGTGTTGAATTTATAAATTTACTCACAAAAATTAAGATTTAAATCCGAATGTCATGGATTGTAAACTAGTGATGTGCCAACTCGGGATAAACGTAACTCGATTTAACTCGAGTTGAACTCGAGTTACGTAACTCGAGTTAACTGGATGGACAAGTAAATGTTTTTTGGAATAGACATATTACATTTTTATCTGTTTCAATTCTTTATTTTTGATGTTATTTGTTTATAATGTATTGGGAGAGTTATACCTACTTAATAAAGAAACAAAAAAGTTATTGTTTGAAATGGAAATATTTTTCAAGAATTTTTGGCTTGAATTTAAATAAAACTAAAATTTACTGTCAATTAAACTGAAATTATATAGCAGTCTTTTTCTCAACGATTCTGTAGCGATTTGTATGAGAGAAATTAAAAAAAAATGAAATGTGGGGGGCCAACTTCACGTTAAAAATTTAAATTGCTTTTACGGAGGAACTCTCAAACGATTTTTTTCTCTCAAACCCTCTCTAACGATTTACATAAAATAAGTAAAAAAAAAAGAAAGTGAGGGGGCTAACTTCACAGAGGTCCAACTTCGCTCCACGTCGGTTCCATTCGGTTTTCGAACTCGAGTTAAAGAGAATTCAACTCGAGTCGACTCGAGTTGCGAACTCGAGTTGATCATCACTATTGTAAACTTATATTGTATTTGACATTGACGTGACATAATTAAAGACAGATTGTGCTAACAAGTGGCACTTCATATTTTTATTTTAATAACTTTTATTATATCGTAGTTATAAGGTTACTGATACCATTCCTGATATTAAAACATTAAAATTACAGCACTGTACTGTGACAATGTCGAAAATATATAGAGCATTGATATCAGCTACGGATAAATTTGTACCATCTAAACTACGTCCGCTATGGGAACATGAAGCTGGTAAGAATTTTTACTGTTATGTTGTTTATGTTAAATCTTAATTTCTATTTTTCAATTTGTTATTTTTTTGCAGGTCCTAAAACTATATTCTTTTGGGCCCCAGCATTTAAATGGGTAAGTATGGCAGTATTTTAGATATTTCAAGGTCAGCCTATATTTATTTAGACCTTGTCTAAGGGCAATGATAAGCTATCTACGTTGTTAGAACACATCGTTATAAAATGTATTACAAATTGAAACTGTTTTTTGTTTGTTACATTGTCAATTTTAATTTAGTAAAACAATTCGAAATGTACTTTACATTTACACTCATGGTCATTGTTGGTGATTTCATTATAGGGAAAATAAATTCTGCAATTTTTCTACAAATTGCACAGTCAATTTCATAAATTTATACACAATTATACAAAACTTTAGAAGCTTGTATAGACCTCAAAAAAGTATATGCATATATTCATTAATAGCATGACCTGGTAGTCTTGAGAGTACCAATTTAAAATCAAAGACAAGTTTCTAAAGTTTTTTAAGTGTATAGATATTTTTGCAGCCAGTTATCATAAGTTGAGCAAATGAAATGGCAATAATTTCATTGAAGTAAACAACTAATCGTAATAAAATAAAATAAAAATAAAACTTTGGAGTACAAATGGAAATTTATCATTTCCATTACATCAAAGCATGTGTTCAACAAGTTTCCATCGATCCAGGTGCAGTGGATAACTTCCTGACATCATATTCATCCTTCCAGGGCTTGGTGATAGCAGGTTTGGGTGATCTAACTCGACCTGTCGAGACATTGTCCATACCCCAGTCTGTGTCTCTAGCGGCGACAGGAATGATTTGGTCGCGTTATTCACTCGTTATAACACCGAAAAACTACAGCTTATTTGCAGTTAATGTATTTGTAGCGTTAACTAGTCTTTACCAAATTGGCAGAGCTTATAAACATCAATCTGCACAGAAAAAGGAATGAGTTGTTTTGAATTTATCGGGTAGTAGATAATTGGGAATAAAAAACTGTTTTTCGCTCACATAGAACATAGATGAAAATAAATATAGTTAATTTATGACTAGAAAATTATGCAACGACACAAGAAATGTTAGAATTTAATTATTGCACATTTCAAATATAGTAATGTTTAAAAAAAATCGTAAAATTTTATAATGGTGCTCTTTTCTTAGTGTTTTTTTATAGCTCATCTGTGATACATATTTAGGGTGAGTTGCACCATATCGCCGGTTACCGTTTAAGTTAAAATTATTTGTAACAGTAATATTTGGAATAACCTTAAAATTTACTA